AGAACCCTGCTGTTAAGGGCCAGAGAGACAGCTCAAAGGACTAAGTGCCTGCTTCAGCAAGCACAGGGTCCCCGGGTGCCAGGCTGGCCCCACCACGTGGGTGTGCTGAGCTGGCCACCAAGACTGGGCCTGGTGGTACAGGCCTGTAATCCTAGCACTAGGGAGGCTGCAAACAGGAGCATCACTGAGTCTGAGCTGCATAGTGAGACCCTGTACAAAATATATTAAAAGAAAGAGCCAACCCTCTGGTGTAGATTGGTAGCAAGGGACAAAGTGGGCTGAACACAGAATACTGCAGCTGGGCACCACACTGCTGCTATCAGGGCTGGTCCTGGGAACAGCATGTTCCTCTCCTCAGCACTTACCTTTGGGAAGCTGTTAAGCCTTCGACACCCATGGAGCAGTCCGGTCTAGCCAGGAGAGGAGTAGGGCACGGAGAGGACCCAGGCCCAGGCTGCTCCCGTTTGAGTGAAAAGCCCATTACCTGTCTGGGAACTGATGTTTGAGAACTGCTGGTTGTTGAATGAATGAATGAATGAATGAGCAGAAGGGTAAGCCTGGTGAGATTCATTCATTCATTCATTCATTCATTCATTCATTCAAAAATAGTCACTGAGTGTCTCCCCATGCTGGGAGAGGAAAAGAAGCTGAGTCTCTGTTCTCATGACATTTACTTCCTAGTGGAAGGAGACAAATGCTCTACAAACAGGTATCATCTCAGGCCTTCCTTGGAGGGCTAGGAATGAAGGAAAGTCTAGCAAGGAGATTGGGATTGACAGAGTAAGCGACTGTTTACCTTGGCTGCTTAGAAGGGCTTCCCTGAGGCCATGGGGCTTGAACACCAGAGGCCTTCTGCCATGCTGCCTGTGGTGAGCGCAAAGGCCTCACCAAGCCCATCACGAGGTATGAGGCAGGGATGCTCCTGAGGAACCAAGAAGCAGCAAAATGACCAGGTGTGGAGAAGGGCGGGCCCAGCCTCACTTCCCAGTGCATGCTCAGGCCCGAGCCGACCTCTGCTCCTGAAAGCAGCTGGTTGGCGGCAAGGCTGGGAAGCTGCATTTCTACAGTGCCCTGAAGCCAGTGATGCGGCGCTCCAGGGCACTTGTTCTCCTGCACCAAATCCTGTCTGGATCAGCACTGCCTACCACAGTGAGAGAGGCTGCCTTTACCACCTGCCTCCCCGAAGGGTTCACGGCTCTATAGCCTGGTGCTTAGTAAGCACTCAGTGAAATATTAATTGCATGAATTCTTCAAAGAAGGCTTCTGTGCAGGGCCCTGCCCTACTTGCTTTTGCCATCCTGCTCTGTTTGGCTGCAAGCAGATCTCAGCTGGCCAGACCCACCTCCTACTGGTCCCTCCTTCATCCCTAAGCAAAAAATCCAGATCTGGGCTATGCTCCTGCCCTGGTGCCCTGCATGTCATCCCAGCCTTCCTTGTGCCTCTCGTGCATTCCTGCCCATTCCTCAGACTCTCCATCCCTGCCCACTCCTCTCAGGTTAGCAGCACTCCTCAAAGTGCAGCCATTCTATACCTCCCCAGGTCCCAGGGCCTGGTCCAGTTGTGTCTTCCTTTCTTGGCCAGAGATCACAGATGGGTGGCTCCAGTTTGAAGCCACCAGTCAGCAGAAGTCTCTAGTGCAGCTCGTGGGTTTTTAATTTAAATTCATCACCAGGTATGGAGGCACACTCCTGTAATCCCAGCACTCAGGAGGCTGAGGCAGGAGGACTGTTGTGAGTTCAGAGCCATTCTGGGCACAGGGTGAGACCCTTTGTCAAGCAAAACAAAACATCAGGTTCACTGCCAACACTCACAACTGAAGGGATTGCATATCGCCACCCAGCTTCTTGATTCCACTAAAAGCCGAAGGACCACCTGGTGCGGTAGTGTGCACCTGTAGTCCCGATGCTCTGAAAGGCTGAGGCAAGAGGATTAAAGGTTTGAGTGCAGCCTGGGCAATTTACTGGCTTTGTGAGACTCTTTCAAATTAAAAATAAAATGATAAAAAGGACTAGGGGTCTAGATCAGTGTGAATGCCTTGGGGTCAATCCCCAGTACTGTAAAAAGAATAAATTACTTAAATAAAATAAACATCATGGACCTGTACCATGGGCCCACATTCCCACGTGGCCCACATGGGCCAGAGTTGAGGTCTGGACCTTGTCCTCGTGCTTTGGTAACTTCAGCAACCAGCACAGTACCTGGCCCTTAAAAAGCATGTTATTGAAACCAGAGGGGAAAATACATTGGCCCCAAGAATGAAAAGATGCAGGGTTGGTTCTGGCTTAGGTAGACTCATGTGACCTTGGGGTCTCTCTGGCCCTCAGTGTCCTTGTCTGCTCAATCTAAGTAATGGCAGTCCCGCTTCCCCGCCTTCCGTCAAGCCAGAGAGGCTGTGAGGAGCGTCGCACGCGCCTAGCATATAAAGCTCGGTCAGCGCGAGTCCATACCGCAAGGGACTCAGCAAGTATTTACTGTCTGGGATGCGAGGCAGTGGGAGAGGTGTCAAGAGGCCCGCTGGGTTCCTGGGGCGCTGGGGATTGAGGGAGTCCCTGGGGTCAAGTGCTAGTGCACCACCACCTCAGGAATTGGAGCCGGGATTTCCCTATCTATCCAGTGAGGATGATCCAAGTCTCATGAGGGTTAATGTATCCAATATGCACATTGAGCCAGGGATATAGCTCAGAGGCATAGTGCCTGCCTGCAAGAGCAAGGTCATGAGCTCGTTTCCCAGTACCAAAACTCTTGAGTACATTAACCCTCAGCCACCCTAAGCAGAAGGCTGCCATGCAATGTACATGCAGAAGCTGTCAGGGGCAGTGGACAGGAAGTGCTTAGGGTCCTTCCTGGCTGCAAAACTCTCGGCCACCTTAAGCCTCAAGAAGACTCCAGGGCACAAAACCACAGCTGTCACTGGGTGATGTGGCTCAGTGGTAGAGGCCCTGGATTCCAATCCTCAGTAAAGTGAAAAACAAAAAAGTGTAATGTATAGAGGCCCTTGAAGGGGAGCAGTGGAGGAGGGGAAGAACGCACTGGATGGAAAGTTTTCATCTCTCTGGAAAGATCCCAAGCGCCCTGAGGATGGCGCTGACTAAAGTTGCGCAGGACAGCAACACAGGAAGTGAACAGATGTGGGAAGAAGGGAAGCAGCCCTTCTGTGAGGGAGGAGTTATTTTTACCTCATCCCCATGCAGAAGAGGGACAGTCCTGCCCCAGATACACCCCAGCGCCTCGGCTCCACGGATGCCCCCCTCCCAGCACAGCTCACTCAAGGGGCGCTCCAGGAGTCAGAGGGTCACTCACAGCAAACAGGCAGCCCTGCAGGAGGATCAGCAAGAAGGTGCAGGAGACCCGACAGTGACTTTCTGCTCACCCAGGCCTCGGTGCCTGAGACAAGCAGCAGGATGCTGCTGCCCGAAAACAGCAGGAGGGCCCAGCGCAGGGGAGATGGCTCTCTACCTTCATTATGGAACCCAGGAATGAAGCTTGAGAAAGAATGTGCCAGCTTGCACTGTGTTACTGTGCATCTGATGCTACATCACTGGGGCTGGGGAGATAGCTCAGTAGAATAAGCGCTTGCCTGGCAAGAGCAAGGACCTGAGTTCAGTCCCCAGTTCTGGCGAAAAAAAAAAAAAAAATCACTTCTAGAATGTGTGCGCGTGTGCCTTCTGCACAAGACTGAAAGCCACCTCACACCCATAGAGGTGAGAGAAGGCCAAATGTCTCAGGTATCTGAAGGACAAGCCACTCCTTGCTGTAGGCATCTTGGAAGAGGAGCTGCTCTTCCCTTTCAGCAGCCATCAAAGCTGTGCGGAAACGGATACTGCGTGCAGCCGGCCTCTGCACCTGATGGCAAACCCGAATCTGAGCAGGTAAGTTCCCTCGCGCTCAGCATCCAGCAGTCAGCTGGCGCACGCCTCCACGTCCTGGATGCTTACACACGTCCTCTCTTTTGTCCTCATGACTCTCCCCCATGAAGTGAGTTTCTCCCATCTTTAGGAGCCCAGCGGTGAGGTGACACCCAGGCCAGGAAAAGAGCAGCCACGGTCTCTGACCACCTGATGCCCCCAGGGAGAAAGCTGGCGTATTCAGAGCCCTGCTTGGCCAACAACATCCTTAGGGGCTGTCTTCTCCATTTCAGGACAGGGGGACATCTGGTCCCTAAGTGCATAAGCCCTCCACGTCGGTTTATTTGTCCCTTCTGTTCACGGAGGTCACTTTAAATACTAGTTATATCCCCCAACGCTGATGGCTTCTCCACGGTGACAACACTCAAACCCCTTCCTCTTGGCTTTTGAAACGTGCCCTCCACTGTCATTACTCGGTCATCACCCTGAGCAAGGCGCGCAGGACTCCTCACTCCCAACTCTACCTTCGCACCCACTAACTTCTCTCTCCACCATTCCCTCATCCCACTTGAGATTTCAAATAGCATAACAAGATGGGCTTTTCAAATGAGATTTGTTTTAAGAATGCAGGGTGAGGACTGGTTTTGTTGATGCCTCTGACAGCCTGACTCCACGGAACCTGGGAAACAACACTGGCCAGGACCGAATTTCTCGCCACTGCAGTTTCGCCCACTGCGCAAGCGCAGTTGCAGTCTCCTCCAGCCTTGCCCACCCCCCGCCCTCTCTCCGCCCTTGGACGAGTCCAATTCCTTGAGGACAGGGGGGTGCCGTGAATCTTCATTATTTCCGAAGATAGTCCGAGCCAGCTTCTGACCAATCAGAAAACTTCCTTTATCGCTCCCTCTGGCTACACAGGATAGAACTTCTTTTCCCGAAATGCTCCGGAGGAGCTGGGGTGGGAGGTGCCAGTGATGGACGGTACTTAGAGCCATTTATCAAGAAGAATAAAATTGAAGGTCAGATACTGACACGAATTGCATGGAAAGAAAAGGCTGCTGGTCCCGCCCCCACCTACTACTGGGTTTCCTAGAGTCTGGGGGGCGGGAGGTATTGGCATCAGCCAATCGAGAGCCAGAGAGGAAAAAGAGGCGGGGCAGTGGCCAATGGTTGCCAGGCTCGCTTATTTGGCTCAATGCTTGGGACCCATTTCTCCCGGACCCTAGCGCCAGGGCTTGGGTTGAGGTGCTGTGCTGTGAGCACTAGCTGCGTCGCCCGCTTGTACCTTTCCAGGCTGCTTTGAGGGCCTTGAACTGGAGCCCGCCTTCTTTCCTAGCTCCCGACGTCCGACCCAGGCCGGACGGTCGAGCCGCCTCCCCACCGTGCTCGCACGCCCTGGTGATCCCCTTCCCCACTTCCCTGACCCAGGCGGGACAGACCCGCGAAGCTCACCCACCAGCCCCTCCAACAGCTGCGACCTTCCCCGGTTGGTGGTAGTGGTTGGTTACCATGGTGAAGCTGGCGGCCAAATGCATCCTGGCTGGTGAGTCTGAAAACTCGCTCTTGAATACCTTGGTCCCCGGAGTCCCAAGCTTCATACTTCATGGGGAGCTTTTGTTCAAGTGAACTCTCTACACTCTGTCCCTGTTTCTCTCCCAAAGGCTAGCTGCTGCGGTTACCCATGTAGTAAATACCTCTAGGCGGGAAGCACTTATCCTCCAGAGCACGTTTCTAGCACCCGCCCCGTCATACTCTGAGACCCCCAATTCAAGCTCTATTGACGAGGAGGAGCAGGCTTGTTTTACAATCAGGCTAAGCGAACCCCAAGCGCTGGATCATTTGCAGTGCCCCCAAATGAGGCATCGGTGGCTTTGGTCGTCTTCACTTAAGAGATTCTTTTCCTGGCCCCAATTCTTCTGATAAGAGAGATAGAAAAGAGTTTGCAGAGGCACCTGTTTGCTGTCTGTAAGGTCGACTGTTACTCCGCTGTCCTGTCTCAGGAGAACATAAACTCAGAGACTCCTCAAAGTGAGCCGTCTGTTTTGTTGCCTGCCGTCCTAAGCACCCACTACAGTGCCTGGAACATAGCAGTTACTCAGGAAATACTGACAGAATGAAAGAATGTGTCGTTCCCAGGATCCACCCCAGCGAAGGTCAGACACAGGAGTTAGAACCCCAGGTCGGCTCAACTCCAAAACCATTACCTGGTGTTACTGTCCAAACCTATGACCTCTCCAGGCCTTCCCAGCCAACTCAGGAAAGAACTGAGGAGAAATTACATAGAGAAAAAAAATTCCTTTTTATTCTCTTCCAGACTGAAAATAATTGATATTTCGTTTTTCTGTTTGTTTTTTCAGTACGGAGAATTGAACCCAGGGCTTTCACCCTGAGGTACATCCCTTTTTAAATTTCGGGACAGCATCTCACTAAGTTATCTGTGTTGGGCTTGAACTTGCAATCCTTGTGCCTCAGGCTCCTACAGTGCGGGACTTACAGGCATGCACCACCACATCTGGCTTGATGATAGCATTTTTATTTTCATTTTTACTTTTTGGTTTCTCTCCACTTGGTGCCTTTTTATTTATGATTTTTATTTTATTTTGTCATTTTGAGGCGGGGTCTTGCTGTGCGGTTCAGGCTGACCTTGAGCTTGCTTTGTAACCCACATTGGTCCCGATCTTGCAATGATACTCTGTCCTCAGCCTCCCAAGGGCTGGGATTACAGGCGTGCGCCACCACGCCCATTTGATGATAATGTTTTTAATGACTTTTTTTATTTGAAAAGAGAAGGTCTCGCACAGAATGATGTCTGACAGTAGTACCACTGATCATACTGGAGCAAAAGATATTAATGGTTCTCCGGAGACTCTCTAGTTTCCAGAGCGCCAGGGGAGGCAGTGTTGTATAACAGAAATAATTCTGGCTGTTCTCCTGACTGACTGTGTTACCTTGCACAAAGCATTTCTTTGAGCTTCAGCTCCCTCGCTGGCTGAGGTGGGAACATTTTCATTTTCTAAGACTAGGTTTCTTTTAAAAATGAACTTCTATCTCTGACTGTTCTTCCTCCTAGCTCCTTTTGAATTCAGCTTCCTGAGCGCCTTCTGTGTGCTGGCCCGGTGCTAGTCCTCAGCGCTGCTCCCCTGAGCCCTCAGAACATCTCTATGGGGTGGGTTGGACTTGCTGTCATCCTAAGGTACAGATGAGACACGTGAGGTGCAGAGGGGTGAGGACACTTGCCTGTGGTCACGCTGAGCTGTGGGATCCAGAACCTGATCCAGACCCAGGGGGTCTGATTTCCAGGACTCTGTTCTTAGCACAGGCTGTCCTGTCCTCAAACCTTAGTCCTTTCTGCCCTTCTTTACCCCTGCTCTCTCCAAACTTGTTTCTCCTGATTCCAGCATCAGCCCGAGTCAGTGGCTCTGCAGCCTCCTATCAAGGCCGCCAGGGCATCTCCTTCCAGAAGTTTCCAGGGATCAAAGACCTCTGCTGGGGACCTGGCTATAGCGCCCCTCCCAGCTCTCATCCCCCCCCCACACACACACCCCTCGGGAGCTGTTCCCATTCAGCACTGTAGGCCCACACCTCTTTTCTCATGCAGCTGTTCATCAGGGCCCTGATGGTCCAGGGTAGAATCCCTCAGCAGATATTTACTGAGCATCTACTGTCGATCAGTCACCACGCAAGGTGCCCTAGAGCTCACGAATGGATCAGGGAAGCTCTGGGAAGAACTAAGCCATGCATGACCCATTATAACTGGTCAGTTGAGTCAGTGCCACAACCACAAATTGATTCCCCTTTGTGTGTCTGACTCTGGAAAAATATCTAGGCCCAGCTATTGCGTGTTTTGGTTCCCATGAAATGAGAAAGCCGTATGTGATGTTTGTCTGTAATTGATTTATTTTAAAAAACACTTACAGAGTCTTTACTGTGTGTCAGTCACTATGCATATTAACTTACTAAATCCTGTAACAGTTCTATGAGGTAGGTGCTGTTTGTAACCCAGTTTACTGATGTGGCCACTGAAGCACAGAGGTGGAATAACTGACCTAATGACACGCAGCTGGGAAATGCAGGCGCTGGAGCCTGGCTGGTGGGTCCATGCCCTTAACTAATGTGTTGTGCTGCCTCTCTGCATGTGGGGTGACAGTCATGCCTCTGTGGGTCACAGTGCCAGTGTCAGCTTTCCTGCCACCACCAGCAGGGATCCATGCAGCCTCCCAGGCAAGACCAACAAGGTGGCACTCCCCTCCTAGGCTACGTAGGAAGGAACTAATTGAGCTTTGCCTGAAGAGAGCGGGATTTGGGTTTGGGTTGGAACACAGTGGCTGCAAGTCTGTGGGGTGTGGAAGGATTGGAGAATAGGGGTGCAGAGCCCAGATTCTGTGTATGGGGCAGGTAGAGAGAGTGGGCAGGAGTCAGCAAAGAATGGAGAGAAATCAGCTCTGTGAGGTGCGCCACCCGCCCATGTGCTGCAGGGGTAGGGTAGCACCGGAAGCCTGGGAAGGCGAGAAGGCCTTTGGGGAAGCGTTTTCAGTCAAGGCCTGGTCGAGAATCCCAAATATATTGAGCCTTACAGCAGGGCCATTTTAATGACGTCACTGGCCTCTCAGGTGTCAGGGACAGAACAGGCCAGAGGCAACTCTGGGAGGCACAGCAGTGGGGAGCTGGGGCTGTCAGAAACCTGGAGGATCCACAGGGGGGCGCTGTGCCCCAGAGGTTGAGCTGTGGGCCAAGAGACCACCATGTCCTGCAGGTCACTCGGGGGGCCTTTGGAGGCTCTCTACTTTTGTGATCTCTCTGGGCCCCAGGTCCTGCTTCATCAGGGTCCAGGTGAAAAACAGGAATTATAGGAAGGGAGGACTTCACTGTGTTCAGAGGACCTTAGATGTGAAAGGACTGTTAGGTATTGAAGGGCTTGAGAAGAGAAGCAGACAGGAGCACGGAGGGAGCACGGGAGTGGCTGCAAGAAGGACCTGGGCCTCCGAGGTGAAGGTCAGCGGGAGGTGGGCGCTGCCCAGGGCCTTAGGAAGACTGGGACAGTGCAGAATCTGCCCCTGTGTGCTGTAGTGAGAGGAGTAAAGGAAACACGTGCGTGCAGTGAGGACTCGGTGAGGTACAATCTGTTCTGTAGTCACAGGTCTCATCCCAGCAACCCCATTTGTACATGCGCAGACTGATACAGAGAAAACGCTACAGATGTGAGCACCCCACAGTGAGGACCTGTGGTGGTGAGCAGGAGGAGTGAGCTAAGTGGCGGGACCTCTCAGGGACAGGCGTGGTGTGAGGTGGCCATGGACACAGATGGGATGAAGACCCATCACCCTGTGGGTAGCCGGAAAGTCAGATGGCCCAGGAGGGATCCTGGCCTGCATTGAGTTGGGAAAATAAGGGCAACTGAGGCAGAGAAGCCAGGAGCAGGCCCTCAGGAGGGGCCACATCCCAGGGCTGGGCAGGGCAGGGGCTGGAGGCCGGCCAGTTCAGGGTCAGAGACATCAGGGTGAAGCTTGAGAAGAGGCCACTGGGTGCAGCGGGGATGGAGTCACAGGGCAGCCCTGCGCTGAGCCCTGCAGTCCTGTGCCAGCAGCGCCCTCCACTGCACCCGCAGGCTCCGCCCTCGCCCTGGGCAGGAAGCCACCCCGGCCGCAACCCGGCTGCCTCTTTGCTTCCTCGACGCTCCCTCTGACGCTGCGGTTCTCAGCTTGTGCTATTTGAATTTGCACTTGTCATCTTGTTGCTCTGCAAACGTGTTTATCAGTTCTGTCACCTCCCTGGGCTCGGATGCCTCCCTGGAGCCCACACAGGAGCTCTGCTGGAAGTGTTGGTGACTGACTGACAGGCTGGAGGGAGAGTCATGGCATTAGCCAGAACCGATCTGTGGGGAGTGTCACGAGCAAGGAGAGCCAATTTCCAGCTGGATTCAGGAGCAGAGCTGGAGTCGGGAGGATGGGAACAGTTCAGGCACGAAGGAGAGAGGCCATGTGCTCGGGGACAGGGGTCCCAGTGATGGGTGATCCAGGCTGCGGTGCTCATGTGTCCAGGAGGGACACAGCGATGAAGGCCTGAAATATGTCAGACGTGGTCCCTTGAGTGGAAAGAGAAGGCTGAGGCAGTGCAGAGAGTGTGATGTTGGAGCCCTAGGCCCGGGAGTGACCTCTGAGAGGCTCGGTCTCTCCCTCCGCAGCTGAGGAAGGAGGGGGCGTAGCGTGGGGAGGAATGAATGAGAGTGTGACTGGGTTCACGAGGGAGTGCAGCACGTGTCAGCTCGCTTCTAAGAAGTGGTGGCAGACGGCAGAGCGAGTCTTGAATAGCGCACTCCGCCCTGGAGGAGTCCGCGTCAGTGCCGTGCCACTCGCCGTCAAATAATCGTCTCACAAGAGAAAATTACAGGTGGGAAAAGTCAAAACTGGAAATGAACAGAGTGGCAGACTGTCGAGAAGCCAAGCAGGGAGAAGTGTAGAAGCAGCCGCAAAGTGGGGAGCGAAGGTGCGGAGACCAGGCACGGTGAGAGAGCCAGCCAGGCACATGGTGGAGGCTGATGTCACCAGAATCAGGAGAACAGAGAGCACCGCTCAGTGGGGGGCGGGAGAAGGGTGTGGGAGCCACTGTGAGACTGTGATGGGAGGTGCGCCTCCCTTGAGGACAGCTGACATCCAATGACACTGGGCAGGGCCCTCTGCAGAAAAGTGGGGAGGGTCGAGAGCAGTTACTCGTGAGCCCTCAAGGACCTCTGCCATCCTCAGTAGCACCAGAGGGCCCTGGGATGACCTGCTCCTGACAGTCCAGTGGCAGATCTCAGAGATCTAGGAGCCTGGAAGTTTTTGGTTTATAGAGCAAGCAGGTCTGGGAAGGCCTGAGGTAGTGACTTTCCTCTTCTCTGACCCCAGGAGACCCAGCTGTGGGCAAGACCGCCCTGGCACAGATCTTTCGCAGCGATGGGACCCACTTCCAGAAGAACTACACCCTGGTAAGCAAGGGTGATCTGGTCTGGGCACAGCTCAAAGAAATGTGACCATTGACCCTGAGGGAGTAACTTGGCAGAGCCCCTAGAAGCAGCCCCCAGAGGCTGTGTAGAGATTAGCTTCTACCCACTGCGCTGAGGGGTGACCACAGGCTTAATCCCTCCAATTGCTGCAAATAGCAGCTCCCCTGGGGACAGCGACGTGGGAAGGTGAGGGAGCCTCTACCTTCTGCGGGCTAAGCACCACCAGCCAGGGGTGGCCCCCCAAGGAGAGGGGTCTCCTCATGACACCTGTGCTCTTCTGTTCCTTGCCAGACGACAGGGGTGGATTTGGTGGTAAAGACAGTGCCAGTTCCTGACACAGGCGACAGTGTGGTGAGTGGCATCGCTGACCCAGGTGCACCTGGGGCTACTCCAGTAGGCCCAGGGCCTCCTTCCTGGGAGGCAGATCGTTGATAGGGGAGTCAAGACCCAGATTTCACTGTTCATGCGAGTGAAGAAACCCAGAAAACCCTCGAGGGGGGCACTGACAGGGCAGGAGGGGGCGGGCTGCGGGCCTGCTGAGGAACTGTTGTGTAGTACCAGGTTGTTCACCCAGGTCCCTCTGTGGGAAACCCAGAGCTCATGGAATGGAATTGCAGATGTTCGTTTGTTAGATGTGTGTCCCTGCTTGGCGAGAGGGTTTGTAGCTTCTTCCAGATGCTGAAGAAGGCCTGTGAACATGAGAGAGTGAGCAGGAGGAAAGGGCATGGGCAGGAAAGAAAAGAAGTTGTCAGCAACCTGACACAGCAAGAGAGGCCAAGACAAGGACACGGGTGGCCAGCTTGGAGGACAGGTGTTGGGGCTGATGTTGTGACAGCAGGTGCCAGGGGTCAGGCCATCCTGCAGGGAGGGGCAGAGGGACCTGCAGAGAGGCTTCCAAGGGCAGCTTGGAAGGGGCTCCCATGTGGGTGGGGATGGCTGGAGCGGGCAGGAAGGAGCATCTGGTGCCCGCATCTGAGCTGTCCCCGTATGATGACAGACTGTCCTACTTTCAGTGCCTTCCCAGGCCTACTCAGTGACCTCCTTTAAAAGGAATTGTTTTAAGATTTGAAAATCAATTTGGTTAACAAAGTGCAGAATGACCTTTTGGAAACGGGAGCACCACCGTCGGCCTGTTTCGCATTCTGTTCTGCCAGGTGGGCAGGCAGCCTGTTCCTGGTGGTTTTGCACTCGGGTTTGGGAGAGGCGAGGCTGCGTAGCGCATGGTGGCCGTGGGCCTCTGGACTTCCTTCTCATGCCTGGGGAAAGACAGGATGTGTAAGAAAACATGTGGGCACGTGGGTCCACGCATGTCACCACCGAGCCACATTCACGGTGAGCTAAGCATGCCTGGCGGCCCGTGGCCAGCAGTGTCCCTGGTGTAAGCTTCCCTGGGGCGCACTTCTCTGGTTGCAGGAGCTCTTCATCTTTGACTCGGCCGGCAAGGAACTGTTTTCCGAAATGCTGGATAAATTGGCAAGTACCAGAGCTCTTTTACCTAACTGGCTGCCTCCACCCCACCTCCTGCCCCACCCCTTACATGCTCCCGTAGAAATGCCACTACACTGTGGCTGGCGAGAGAAGCTGCTGTGCCATGGCCATATCCAGGAGGGGACATTCCTCACCCTTGCTCATGGATGGTGAGATCCCAAATGTGCCGAAGCTGCGTGGCCATGTCCTTGTGCCCCCCTTGGGGACTCCATCCTTCACAGCACCCCCCCCCCCGTGTGCTTTCAACACCGCCTCTTAGCCTCCCAGGACAACAGTGGGGGGCCCTGAGATGAGGCTCACCTTCCACCCTGACCCCCAACCGTGGGGATGGTTGCTCTTCTAGGATGTGCCCCTTCTGTTGCCCTGGGCTCTCAATACCTGTGTCCAGGGCCACCCTGCTGTCTCACCAGAACCCAAAACGCTGTTCCTTGCAAGGTGACAATCTCTGTAACCTGGGTCCAGGAGCCCACCTGAAGGCCTGAATTTTCCAGAGCCCTCCCTTGCCTTCCCCAGAACAGCCACATTTTGAGGGAGACTGCTCTCTGCCCCCTTTTTGTTAAGTGGAGCTAACCATGGTGGCTTCACCCTGGGCTGGCTCATGCAGTGACTCATGATGCTCACCAGCACCCACAGAGTGCATGGCCTGGTGCTGGGGGCTGCCGTCCCTGGAGGGGGAAGGCAGGAGTGAAGGCTTACAGAGAGACCCTCCCTCCCCCAGCCGGCCTGACCCAGTCTTGCCTATCCCAGCCTCAGCTTGAGCCCTGGGGCTATGTCTCAGCTCCATGAAGGCCTGGATGAGGGAAGGTTTCTTAAATTCGGGTAACACCAAGGTATCTCCTGATGTCTGCCGGGGAAGTAAGTGTGTTTTGTTTTTGGGGAATGCGCATGAGTCAGCCTAGAGGAAATTATGGGGGTCTTGGTTCAGCTCATACTCTGCACCCTGAGTGCCTCCAGGAATCAGTGTAGCTTGGGAGGTGGGGAGAGGGCCCTCCAGAGCCAATCCTGGGCTGGCCCTCAAAGGACAACTGGAAGAGAAAGGATTCTACTCTCTGCCCACCCCAAACCAGGGCCACTCCATCTCCCCAGGGCAGGACATCCCAGGACTCTCTGAGAAGCCCTCACAGCCTTTGAGAGTGAGCCCTGGCTCCTAATTGGGACATAGAGCCCGGTCTGGTGGGTGTGGTATGTGTTGGGGCTGATGCCAACGCTGCAGGAGCAGCAGTGGCCTCTGTATTTGGCAAAGCCAGCCCTGACAGGAAGATGCATGTAGATGCACTCCCAGGCCCTGGCTTAGGAAGGGAAGAGGTGCTCTCAGCTTGTAGGGGACCCTGGACAGCAAAGCCAAGGGTTAGCAAGAGTGGAGCTCTGGGCTGAGCAGAGGCTCAGGACCACTGTGCCTCCTCTGTCCCTGAAGCATCCAGATGTGGGCAGGTCAGACGGTCTCCCTGTACTTGGTTCCACTAGTACAAAGTAGGACCTTGTGGACTGAGCCCAGAGTGTTAGCAAGTTTCACAGCAGAGTCTGTCCCACCTGTGAGATCTGCAGCCCCTCCCCCACAGGGAGCGCCCCTCTGTTCATTCCTGTGGAGGGGCTGGACACCTGTGGATGTGCCTTTTCCTGGCACACAGCCCCTTTTCCCTCCATCAAGTCCCTTAGCAGAAAGCCACATTGTCCCCCAGCCTAAGAACCACCGTCACATTACTGACATGTGCTCCTCCTGGCCCTCGAGCAGTGGGAGAGTCCCAACGTCCTGTGTCTCGTCTACGATGTAACCAGTGAGCAGTCCTTCAGCAACTGCAGCAAGTGGCTGGAGAAGGCGCGGGCACAGGTCCTGGGCACCACTCTCCCAGGTAGGAGCTGCCAGCATTGCACTTCCGGCAGCCCCGCTGTCCTTCAGCTCCAGAGGGGGAGGTCCCAGCAGAGGTCACCATGGGGACAAAGCAGGGCACCGAAGCTTTGACTCCGATGGCCAGGAGTGTGCCCTGGCTCTGCCCCTAAGTCTGTAGGTACAGCGGGGTCGATGCCACCCACCTGGCAGAGCCACGGTGAGACTCAATGTCATGGGGGAAGGTGCAATAATACGAATTGATATTTTCAGAAAGCCCACCCCAGGGAGGCGTCCTCATTTTCTCCTGTGTGTGAGGCATGAGTTGCATTCAAGTCCTGTTGTCGTTTCTGAATACTTTAAATCGGTTTGTTTCTCATCCCTATGCGAGATCAACAAATTCTGCTCATTACAGACCAGGGAAAGCGATCTCCAGAGACAGGCTCAGAAATTAGCTGTAGCCGATGCAGCTGGAAGCAGAACTAAATTATCTCTGAATCCCTGACTCTGAGCCCAGGCCTGAGATTAGTATTAATGACCATTTTTAAAGTTTACCCCATGTGCTAGGAATTAGCACAAATGGGCACCGAAATCAGCCCTCGCCTGCACCACACTTGTAATCATGGTGTGTGGAGGGGGAGTGGGGGGGGACAGCTACATGTGAAGCTTAGAAAAAATCGCCAGGCACAAGCTTGTGTTCAAGGCAAAGACCACTGGTTCTTCTGAGGCCCTGGGGACCAGCACAAGCCCCCTGGCCTTCCTATCCCTCACCAGGCAGCGTCTCAGACCAGTTCAGCAGCTCTTGGAAACAGTGTGCTGCCTCCCTGGCTGACCTCCTGGCCCGCCATGTTAAATGTGATGTTCTGCTTGTTTTCTTCTGAGTAGGTGTTTTAGTGGGAAACAAGACCGATCTGGCCAGCAGACGAGCAGTGGATCCAGCGCAGGCCCAGGCATGGGCGCTGGGCCAAGGCCTCGAGTGCTTTGAGACATCTGTGGTGAGTACCTCTATGTGCCCCCAAGTCCGGGGTGGCCTCTGCCAGGAGTGGTTGAGCCCTGAGGTCATCTCTGCAGAGTCCTGCTGGGAGCTGGTGTTCATGTGTGCAGGTCTCCACTAGTGAGACATTTCAATTTCCCTGACACAGGCATGAGACGGCATAGGTGGCTGTGTGCGTGACTTGATTGGACCCTCACAGTAGGTCCCGTGGACCGGGAGTTGCTCCCCCATCCGGTTCCTAGTTCAGGACTGAGCAGGTGAAACAACTGCCCGAGGGCATGTGACCAGTAAAGAGCCAGGGCCAAGGCCAGGACCTCCAGCTTCTAGTGCCCACCAGTGCCTCTGGGAGCCTCGCCAGGTGGCTCCAGGTTATAGAGTGTCTGCTCGTGGAGTAGGCAGATCAGGAGCACCCTACCCCCAGCTTCTTTGGCTGATCTGGGGTGTCATGCCCTGGGGAATGCCTGCGGAAGGCCTAGGTGCTCTAACCCTGCTGGTGAGGAGCTGGGCCAGCTGTGTCCCTGGCTTGGTATTTAAACCACGGAAGCCTGGGGCTCCTCACCTGTATGTGGGAATGATAACATACGGCCCTCACTGGGCGAGAAGTGTGAGAATGAGGACGACAATGGGATGAAACATGAGCACAAAAGTCTAGTGCAGAGTATCGGTGGCAAATGTTAGCTTTTGAAAGCACAAATGTTCCCTCAGTATCTTGTTTTACTGTTATTACTCACTAAATCCTTGAATTCGTAGCTTGCACACAGACGAATGTCACCCTTGCCTCTGGTCCAATTATCACAAATGCTAAATTAATGAAGTTCAAATTAGAGAACCTGAGTCTGTGGCACGCTGTGCAGGGGCCCCCTGCATCTGCACAGCAAGCCTTGAGTGGCGCCATGAGCCATCACCCACGCCACCCCATCCCATCCCCTCTTCTGCCACTCACGTGGCTGACACCGTCCCATATTTCCCAGAACTCAAAAGTTAAACCCCACCCCAACACATCAGTCACCGAAGGCCATGGGCCACGAGTTTAAACTCCATTCAGGTGTTGCAGCGGGTGGGCATAAATTATGCTTGAAGAGGCTGCAGCGAAGCGCTTGGTATTAACTGTGCGAGTTAACTAGTCCCCCCTGAGTTGATGCTAACAGAAGCTCCACTGGCAGCTCGGGTAAGAAAGCTGTAATTAAAAAGGAAATATAACCAAATGCTGTTTGAGATGCAGCCAAGTCTTGATGCCGAGCCCGTTTCCTCTCTTCCTAAGTGCAGCGGCAATCCTCTGGCTGACCCAGCAGTACAGCCTGCAGGGCTCTTTGACTTTCTGATGCCCCTGGATATTTGAAATTCTCAGGCCCAAAAGTAAAAGGGTTTCTATCATCAGGAAGTAAAAATTATAATAAACAAGCATCAGTAACAAAATACCCATTGTTCACCACTGGAAGACAACAGTAAATGTAAACAAGTTCAAGATTAATCTGTTGGGACGCCTGCCCGGGCAGTAGCCAGAGGAGAGAATAACGCATTGAGGTCCTACTGTGTGCTGGGCGTTTTGCAGATTACCCATTTATGCTTCATAGTAGACCAAGGAGACAGCTGTTCCTAGCCCTGATATATGCTTGAGAAACAAATTAGAAAGGGAGGGGGTAGCTCTCCCCAGTTGCACAGCTAAGGAGGAGGAGAACCAGCACCAGGACCTGTGCCTGGCCAGCTGGAATGCTCTGGCCTCCTGAAAGGAGTCAGAGCACCTGGTGGCATGCTTGGGGACAATTCTGAGCCACACTGAGAGCAAATGCTTTAAGCAGACCTACTGTAGGGGTCGGGATGTAGCTCAGCGGTGCAGTGCCTGGTAGCAAATGTGAGCTCCTGAGTTCAGTTCCCAGTGCTCCCAAGAAAAGCAGACCTATTCTATCAGTGTCTAATCTGTGTAAGCAAGATTATGATTAGTCATTTGACAAGAAGATTCCCGTCCCTGGGAACCCCTTAGCACTTTGGTTCAGCTGGTGTCTGTTGAGGCTCACAGCCCCACCTTCCTTGATTTCTGCTGGGTTCTCCCAAGATCACGCCTTGGGGAGCTTCCCGATTCTTTATGTGTGGCTCTGCAGACCCTACTCTCTTCCTGTCTGGGACTTAACTGTGCCAGAAAAGGATGGGCCATGCTATGGGTTGACCTTGGCATTGTGTGGCAGGAGACGCTTCACCACCCCTAGGCGTCACACTCACCTCGTGCCCACCTGGAGGCGGCAGCTTTCAGCGCTGTGAGGTTGTGAGCTCACACAGGTGCTCGTCTCGGCTCGCTTGCCCCATCCCTCGGCCTGCTCCTCGCACTGCCACCTATTTCCCTCTCGGGGCGTCCCTTGCTACAAAGTCCAGGTCGCTTTCTCCAGGGCCTGGTCTCCTCTGTGCACGACTGGCTGCACAAGGAAAGCCTGCTTCTCAAGCTGAGGGTCTGGAGCACTGACCAGCTGGGACGCTCCAGCCGGGGCCCCATCCACTCATCTGGAAAATGCAGTCACCGTGCGTGACGACTTGGGTGCCATTCTTCACGTGGAGGTTCTGTTAGGGCTACTTCTCTGCTTCCCATCAAGGTTGTTCTTTTGCCAGCTGCCAGAGAGCTTTCTAAATCGGATTCCCACACATTCACAGTTTCGGCCATTAGCTGCAGTAGAGTGCGTTCCTTGCTTTCACCAGCTTATTTCTTAAAACTTAAAACACCTGTGTTTCCTGCACACACCAAGCAGGAAAACAGTGATGGGGGCATTGGGGGCCACCGTGGAGACCTGTCATTTCCCAGCCATTAGCTGTACTGGAAGAGAGTGGTGTCAACTTGTGGCACGCATGACACACTGAGCAGTGGCACTGAAGGCTCTAAAAGGTTCACCATTACCACTCTAGCACAAGTGCTTTACCTTCTCTGATCCCTGTCACACCAGAGAAATGTCCTTTGGATCCTGAAGTTACGAAAATACTAATTCTAGCCAAGCATGGTGGCACACACCTGTAGTCCCAGCTTCTCCGGGGGCTGAGGCAGGAGGATTGCAAGTTGGAGGGCCAGCCTGGGCCATGTGGCAAGACCTTGCCTCAAAAAATAAAAAGAGTAGGGATATTTCTCAATGGTAAAGTGCCCCTGGGCTCAGCCCCCCGGTATTGCAAGAAGAGAAACCACCTCATTCCAGCTATTGTAATACCCAGGCCTAGGTTGTGATGAGAACTGGTTTGATGAGAAGCCACACCTCTGGCAGGCCACGAGGGAGAGGGAGGCAGCAGTGGATGGTGCTGGGTAGTGCTTGGGTCCTCTGTGGCCCACCGTGCGTACTTGTTGGGCGTCTGTCTCTGGGCACGTTAGTCCTGTGACCCTCGTGAGCCCCTAGCAGAGGTCCTCTAAGGCAGCCGCCAGGCAGCTGTCCCTTTCCGTGGGTCCTCGGGAGGCGGAATTGGGAAATGCCGGCCCGTGTTCAGGAAGCTCCTTCAGGCTCCTCTGGTCCCTTCAGCCCTGACCTTCCTTTGAGGCTCTTGCTTACAGCACAGGGTGGCTCTCTCTGCTACTGGCATTGACCTAGGGGGCCTTGTTTTAACGTTTGGCCAGCATGGCTGAAAGGACAAGCACTGTGGGAACTGCTCTCCCTCAGATCCCGGCTCCAGCCAGCTGCATTGGCACCAGCTGAGGCTGGCTGCGCGTTCCCTTAATCTCTGTGTCTGTTTCCTTCTCATAAAGCTGGCAGCATGAGAGCAGCCCCCCTCCCATGGTATCGAGGTGGACGAAGCCGGGTGGGCAGCTCCCGTGAGAGGGAAGCCTGAAGGGAACGCTGGCTGCCTGGGCTGGGAAGGTAAGGCAGCCACCTCTGACTGTGTCCACAGAAGGAGATGGAGAACTGCGAGGCCCCCTTCCGCTGCCTGGCCACACAGTTCCTGCACCTGTACCGGGACAAAGTAGAGCTGTTCCAGGGCCTGGTGTGACAGCCCCGGCTTGCTCTGCAGGATGGCGCGGTGCTCTCGAGCGTGACGGGGCTCCATCTCCCTCCTGGAAGGAAGGCAGGAAGATGGAGCTGCCTCTGCCCTTCAGTGTATCCTGGTAGCTTTAAATAAAGGCAACAGCAGCAGCAGCAGCAGCTCTTTTCACTCTTGCCCAGGCAACCCTGTTCCATTTCTCATTCTGGCTGTGGTCCAAGAGGGTCCCTGTCTGGGGGGGTTGGGGTGAGAGCCCTACCTGGGGGGATGTTGGGGCGAGGACCCTACCTGGGGGTGGAGTGGGGTGAGGGCCCTGCCTAAGGGGCATTGGGGTGAGGGTCGTGGGGGGGAGAGGGGATTGGGGTGAGGACCCTGCTGGGGGGGATGGTTGGGGTGAGGGCCCTGCCTGCAAGGGCCACTCCCCCAGCTGCCTTGGGGCAGGGCTGTCTTTTTCAACAAGCTCCTGCCTCTCCAAGTGTCTTGGTCTCCTCAGTGGCCACTGTCCCTGGCCACACAATGTCCCCTGCCAGCCTCCGTGATACAAGGCCACCTCCTCCACGGTCATCTCTCAGCACACCAGCCAGTGGTTTTCACTCTGCCTGAGGTGGACCGTTGTCCATCCCATCCTAAAACACTTTGATTGTTCCCCTTCCCTGGTTAGAGACCCATGACAGTCCTTGCTGCCGTGCTCCTCAGTGCTGCAAGCCAGAGCCCCAGCCAGGGCCTTCTGGAACTGTCACCCACCCCTAAGGGCCTATATCCCCCAGCCAAGACGCAAGATGCCCTGGTTCTGGGGTGGATGGCCCCGTCTGTCCTGGTGATGGTGGCAACAGTGGCACCACTCTGTCCTGTTTATGCCCTGCCATATCTGTGAGCAAAGCCGGTGACATATCTTACCTGATTTTGTCCCTACAGCTGAGTCTGCTAACAAGTGTGGTCTGCTAAGGAAACCACTTTCTGGGGGGTCACCAAAAGTTAGGGACTTCCAGGCCCCTTCCCTGTGGCTGCTGAGATGGCCTACTCTACCCCCCTTCCACCCTCCTATCTCTGTCAGAAGACTGGAGTGGCCACAGTTGGTAGGTGGGTGCCCTCCCCAGCCGAATCCCTTCTTCCCTAGAACCAAGTGAAAGACCCCCCAGAGCCTTCTACAGTGCAGAACACTGCCAAGAAGAGACGCTGCCGCCTCGCTGCCCAGCTGGATGCTGGCTGAGCTTCAGGAGGCCATGGCAGCTGTAGGCATGGGTCGTGGGTGCCTCTCTCCAGGGGTTAGGTGTGTAGGGTCTGGGAGAGGCCGGCCCCAGTAGCAAGGAAGACGGACTTTGTGGAAAGATGACACAGGTGGCATGCAGGGGGCCCAGACGGATCCACATGGAGAGAAGTCCTGTGACTGGCCAGACCAGCACTGTACTGAGAGCTGATTCTCCCTGGAAAAGGCAGGGGCTGGCAGCTGGCAGAGCTGTGGAGGGAGACAGCTGTCCCCTCAGGAGAAGGCTCCAGCCAGAGACAGGTTAGATCAGCATGTTAGGAAAAGCCAGCAGGAAGTGGGCTTCAGCAGAGCATGATAAAATAGGATGGCTTAGCTTTGGGGCCCACTGAGGTAAACTGGCCCGACAGGGAAGTAACGGTCAAGATGGCTCCAGACAGTGCAGACAACAGAATTGGCTCCATTTGGAGCTGAATATTCCCCTCACCTCCCACCCTACAAAATAAACTTTCTTTTCTGGTCAGAAGTGGAGCTTTTGGAAAGTTAATGGATCAGGGAGATATGCTCAGGAGTGGGTTCATCTATTGGTAGGTTCATCTAGTGGTAAGTTCACCTATTTGTGGGTTCATGTAGCAGTGGCTTCATCTAGTGGTGGGTTCATCTGTTGGTCAGTGTGCGATTAGGAGGTGAGTGAGGCCTAGCTAGGAGAGGCAAGACACCGGGGGGTGTGGCATGGAAGGTTGCGTCTCCTCCCAGCCTCTCTGTGCTTCCTACAAGCCCAGGCCCTTCTGTTCTTCCTGCCTTGGGGCAGGCTGACTGGACGGAATCCTCCAAAAACCAGAAGCCAAAATAGACCTCTCCTCCTCTGGATTGTGGGTGTCAGGTATTTTGTCCTACTGACAAAACTGACTAAGACAAGAAAGAAGCTATGGTCTGAAATGATTTATCGGGGACCCAGGTTAGGTGGTGGGACTCTGTGCAGACGATATCATTGAGGGGAGACCTGAGAGCCACGTGATGTAATGGGGGGAGTGCTGAAGGGAGCACAGCCAGCAGGGACAGAAAGTGCAAAGGCCCCAAGTCACAGCTTCCATGAAGGCGTAGCCTGCGTGTTCTGGGAAAGCAGAGGGAGGCTGGTCCTGCTGGGCCGCTGAGGGAGGGATGTGGGTTTTACTCCAGGACAGCAGGAAGCCAGTGGTGGAAGGGCTCCCAATTCTTCTCTCCTTACAGCGACGCCTGTTGGGAGCCTTCCACGTGGCCATTAATTTCTTCATTTGCCTGGAGATCCCATTCTCATTGAGCAAAACTACACGGTGCATGCCCTGTCTGCAGACTTTGTTCCTTTTCTTTTTAATCACCTCCTTTCTTGAATGCCTTCATTTTGTGTAGTTATTTGTTGTACAGTAGTGGAGACTGAACCTGGGGATTCTACCCAGGGAATGCCGAGCTACATGCTAGCGCTTCCTATTTATTTGGAGGCAGGGTCTCACTAAATTTCCCAGGGTGACCTCAAAGTTTCCATCCTCCCGCCTCAGCCTTCCTAGTGGCTAGGACTGCAGGCATGCGTCACTGCTCCTGGCCAGATTTTATTGAATGAACATGTGTGTTGAATGACAGGATAAAGCAAGCATTGCTGAGCACTTCCAAAGTGCCGGTCCCTGTTGCAGGTGCTGGTGATTTCTCAGTGGCTCTAGAATCCCTCCCTTAGGATTATAACACTCTAGAACAGCGATGGCGAACCTTGTAGAGACAAGCGCCCGAACTGCAGCCCAGAACCCACTTATTTATCATAGAGCGCCAGCACTGCAGTTAAACTGGAATCTTGATGTTTTCGCTTAGAAAAACAGCTCATACATTAGCATTTTTGTCTTAAAAACACAATAACACGCATGCCATAGGTGCTGTAGAGGTGAGAGGTGTTGGAGGCACAGGTTCATGATCTTTTGTCAGGTGGCCCTAGAGCAGGAGAGAGCAGGGGACAGAGGAGTTTTGATGTTAAGTTTGGGATGGAGTGTCCAAGCCTGGTCTTTTGGGACCCCCTAGACTGGGACTTTCACCTAAAACAGAGACCTGGAACTCAATGCGCAAGGGATGTGTGTGGGCCCTGGTCACCTACAGTGCAGGAGGAAAAGCATAAGCTGATGCTAGATTTGGAAATTCCAGGGGCAGCCAAAGAGTACACACCTTGGTGTCTCCTTAGCAGCATGGGCTGCCAGAGGGGCCACTTTCATCTCATTTGCAATTAAAGAAAAAGGCTCTAACACTCACCCTCCACACCATCCTCCCTTGCATGACACTGAGTCCAAATCAAAGACCTGGTCTTTTTCTCTCCTCTTTTTTCTCTCTTCTCTCCCATTTATTTATTTGGTATAGGGTCTCACTGTGCAGCTTGGACTCATAATGATCCTCCTGCCTTAGCCTCCCCAGCACTGGGACTACAGGCATATGCCACCACACCCAGTTTCAGCAGCTGCTCGGTAGGTCCAGGGCTCTGGGGCCGGCCAGGGCATGTGGTACTGGGGATCGATCCCAGGTCCTTGTGCTTGCCAGGCAGGCGCTTAGACCGCCAAGCTATCTCCCCAGCCCATGGTCTCTTTTCATCCTCTGAAATTGGCCATGGGTCTGCAGGAGAGGGATGCAGCTGGGCCACTCAGGTTTGGGGTCACACACTCAGAAGCATAAAATAGCTCCCCAGTGCAGGAAACCATCCCCTCTCACCCAGGCCTTTTCCTGCCCCTGTCTGGTGGGTGGTATGGGGTGCAGCCTGTTGCATTCAGGGTTTACAAGGGAATGGACTTGATACAGGACATGTAATTTGTAAGATTACTTTATAGTATTCACCCAAAGAGTCAAAGGCAGAAGAGTGCAGGAGATCTGTCCACATACTAGAGACCAAAGAATCCAGCAGAGGGCCTGGCTCCTGCGGTGGCGTCCCTACCAGTCCAGCTGGAGGCCGAGAGCTCACAGCAATGTCTCATGCAGGTCTGTGTCATAGATCTGCCCTGGGAAGGCCCAAAGGTCAGCGTGGAAGCTGGAAAGTCTGCGGCAGTGGGATGGAGGATCCGTGCCGGCAGACTGAGGGGTCTGCACCCGGGCCGAGGTGCTCAGAGTCAGGACCGGAGCTCTCCCAAAGAGAACCCCGGTGGCAGCCAGGACCTGAGCCTCTCCTGCACTGAGAACGACTGGGTTAACCTCAGGAAAGCCAGCGTGACAAGCTTCTCCAGGAGGATCATCAGCCACCATCTTTCTCCAGTTCAGCTTTTGTGCTGCTGGCAGCAATCCACGGGTGGGCCCTCTGCACTCAGCACCACGGGTGTTACAAGTTGACGGCACAGCTGCAGGGAGCTCCCGGGCCCTGTAACACCCTTCACTTCCGGGAGAGCAGCCCTGGGCTGCTGTGTGCCAGGGAAGGTATGCTGGCTGGTTCATCTGGGGAGCCTAGGGCTGGAGGATTCCTGCTGCAGTGTACACGAATAACACGCTTCTGTTGCAGTGCTAAGATGTTGTATTTTATTTTTTATTCTTTTTTTATTTTTTTGTATTTTCTCTTTTTTGTATTTTAGGGAAGGGTCTACAGGGTGTTCAGGGTCTCACTACTAGACCAAACTTGTAGTGATTTGCCTATTTACAGCCTCCCAAGATCTGGGATTACAGGCACACGCCAGCACGCCCAGTCTCAATCGCCTTCTCAGCACGCCCCACGGGCAGGGCCAGCACAGCAGGCCTGGGGATCGAACCTTGGGCCCCTGCACCTGCTTGCAGGCACTTCAATCCACTGAGCTATTTGGCTGGCCCTAAGATGTTGTATTTTAATAGTGGGGTATGGAAACTAAGTGTTTCCAGCCCAGCCAGTGACAATAGGCACAGATTCAGTTGATCACAGAGGAGGCCCTGAAAACAACACTCTGCCACAGCGCTGGAGGGTTCCTGCCCAGGCTGGATACAGGGAGAGGAGCCCTGGGTTTCTTTCCT